CTACCTTTTTCTTGGAGCAGCTGCTCCATGAAAAAGAATGAAGTTACTTACAGCTCTTCCAGAGCAGAGGAATTGCATGACAAATCATTCTTTGGTGTACTCCTAAGGTACTGGAACAATGTGCACTTCCTTACTTGGGGCAGATTTTAAAGTTACAATGTAGCCATATCTTTATTGATAATAAATCTATTGATTTGTGGAGATACATTTTTTTTTACCTGTGCGAATGTCGTGGTTAACACCCTCTACTGAAATAATGGCATTTGGAATTCCCTTTCCAGATAAATCCCTTACCATGCCTTTGATACCCCGATGGACCTATTAATGGAACAAATAAATGAATACTTGTTACATAACAGTGAAAAGCAAATATGATGACTCATCCAACAGTCACATCTGCATGAGAAAGCAAGTCATTAACTTGATAATGACTATGTTCTCTTCAGTCAGGAATCTTGGATGAAAGATATATTAATCTTGCCCCAAGCTTAAAAATAACATTTTTTTCATCAAATGTAAAATCTGAGTCTTCTCCCTATGTTTGCATATTGCTGTAAGTAAAATGGCATGCATTTTCAAAGCATATAAAATATATGTATGTAAACAGCATGTTAGGCTTTTTACTTTTTTTTGTAACTATATTATAAATAATATAGCTTTGAAATATCACTATCAATATGAAACTAAGTTTCTAGGCTTCAGCCACTTTTGACTTGGTTATTTTTGAGAGCTTCTGTAGTTACAAAAATAAGAGCAAGCCAGATAAAACAATGAAAAGTAGCAAGTCAACATGGTTTTCATCTGATTGTTTCAATCAAACACTGCACTCTTGTAAAATTTTACCATACTTCATTATTTTGTCCTCTTAAACGTAAATAGTCTGATGTTTAAAAAAAAATTACCAGTATTTTTGAAGGGTAAAGTTTCTATTATAAATGCCAAAAATGTTCATAATTCAAAACACAGATTATAAGTGAAACCGTTCAGTGAAAGAATTAGCTACCACAAAGGGTTTTACTGAAATGAAACATTTTAGACCAGTGAGATCACAAGGGGTGTGTGGAGGACTGGCAAACTTTGAGAAAGAAAGTGTATTTTTTCCAGTTTTTAAAATGATGCCTCATTCTATCTGTATTTGTACAGAGCTGCTCAGTTCCTTTATTAGCATTAGCACTCTGGATTTTAAAGGTAAATCTGGACTATACCGTAATGCAAAGTAAGCTTTGTGATTGAAATTTCCAAAGTAGCATGAGAACCAATGGAAGATAAATAATTAAGCTAATGGAAGATATGTATCTGGATCCCATTGGGTGATTTGAAAAGCTGTGGAGGGCAACCCATAGAGAGCTCCAAGAAGGATCAGCACAGTCCTGAACTCTTTGGCTCTGCAGGATCAGGTAGAAGGTGATTTGTGAACAACCTGGGGGAGCAGGTAGTTCGTAGAGTATCTCTACAAACTATGTGGATCTACTGGACTGAAACCTTATCTATGGGGTAACACAGCAGGGCCATAGTGACCTCAAATGAAGACTTTCACACAGGCCCCTGCCGAAGAGAATTTTAATTTCAAAGGCCTGGGCAAGATATGCTTTCATACCTGTTCCATAAAAACAATCAGGGATTCCCGGTTGTTTTCCCATTCTTCAGGTAACTCGCTCTCATGAGGATATTTGTCACAGCCCACATAGATGGATAGCTCAAAGCAGTTTGTGTGCAGGTAACTAAAGTCATTTATACCTGTTGATGCAATAAAATAAGAAAAGCTTCAGAACCATAAAAATGCTGTCGTTTATTCTGTGCACCAGATCTGATTATTTTAATCAAAGCACAAAGTAGTCTGCAGTTTTGGAAATAAAATGTTGTTTTAATAAAGTTCATGAATATATTAATTAGATTTGATTTTTATAACATTGTGCCCATAGAAAAATCTAGTGCATCTTAATTTTATCTCATTTAAAATAGGGAACTGAATAGCACAGTGCATGATAAACTACAGTGAATATTACACACACCCAACTGCTGTATTCATTCCCAATATGATCCTTGCAGAAAGCCTATTGAAGAATATGGGAGTCTTAGTTGGCATGTCTGAGGGTTCAGTCCCATCACTTCTTATATTCAACACATCTGAGAGACAGCCAAGTGAGTGTGTGTGAATGAATGGACTACACAATCACCAATGCACTGACACCCACTCAACCTCAGTCACCTCTTAAATAACCATATGCAGAGGGAGTGTGGTTTTAGTTTTTAGCTATTACTAATAAGCAGGGTTGTGGACAATACAAATATTTTCTTACTAAAGTGGTGTGTATGAGAACATCATGTATAAGTGATAGGTGTATAGAGAAGAGCTGAGGCCATATAGGTTATACTTGGTATCCCTTCATCTGTAAACATAGAGGGTACGTCTAAACTACATGGCTCCGTCGACGGAGCCATGTAGATTTGTTGTTTTGGCAAAGGCAAATGAAGCCGCGATTTAAATGATCGCGGCTTCATTTACATTTACATGGCTGCCACGCTGAGCCGACAAACCCCTTTGTCAGCAGCCCCGGTAAACCTCATCCCACGAGGAATAATGGGGCTGCCGACAAAGGGCTTTGATGTCGGCAGGGGAGCGTCCAGACTAGCGCACTGAGCGGACAAACAGCGGATCAGCTGTTTGTTGGCTCTGACGACAGAGGCATGTAGTCTAGACACAGCCAGAGTGACCTATTCCTCATATAGAGCCTAGCATGGTGAGAGAATTAGGGGCTTCACGTTTTCTTCCCCTACAGCCTCCTGAAAAAGATCAGAATTAGTATTGTCTCATACTAAAGGTGTCCATTAGAGATCTGTCCTAGCCACACACACCCCAACTTTGAGGAAACTCCAATCTGTGTTCACACGTCACAGCTAACTTCAGTCTCTATACTGGGTCAAACTCTACACTTCCAGAATCCCCTGAGGATTGGAGGAAGTTTGCATGTAGATGGAAACCTCCAATCCAGTTCCATTTTCTCCGTATCCCTTGCTGATTATCAGAAGAATCCCCCTTCAGGGAATTTCATTTATTAACATTCTCCAAACTAACGCAGATAACACAGTTTTATGGCTGAGTGCAGGGGGAAGGAAGGAATGCAGATTAATTTCTCGTTACCCAAACAAATTTATAATTAAAAATATTTGAAGGCTAGGAAGAAAATTGCTCATTAATGATTATTAGCTGATTTCTTTCCTAATGGCAAAGATTAGCAGGAAATACATTCACCAAGTATATCTGATTGAAGAAAATAATAAAAAAAGAAGATCCAATCAATCCAATTACCATGCAGCAGCAGTCAAGTATTTAATGAGCCCTCAGTGCCTTCTGGATTCAAAGTAGGAGGATTATATAACACAGATGTTAAATTTTTATGTTTGTTGATGGGGAAGACTAAAATTTCAGATGCTGGCATATGCTGCTTTACAGAAGCCTGTTTCCTTTCCATTTGAGAAATACTCACATTTTCTCTTTACATATCGTATTTCATCCCGGCTAATCTATAGTGAAATGTTTTGTGTTACATTTGTGTTACAGTAATTGCTCTGTTTTCACGCGTCTCCTTCATTGCCAAGGGGAATGCTCCATATATTGTCTGAATGCCCAAATCCAGCATTGCAATTCAAAGATAGGATTCATGCGTTGCTTCGTTGACATGCGTTTCATCCAGTCCTTAGTTGTTATTTTTAAATGAATTGAAGAGATCATTTTCATGGCAGCCCGGGGTATGCAACAGAGAACAGTGTGGTTTAAATACCAAAGAAATGCTGAGGCATTTGATATCTGCAGAAGCAGTTAATGGTCCGCTTACTACACCTCCAGGGACATTGGGTGGTAGGAAGAAGCCAGACAGCTTCTGGGCAACTCTCTCCATGCATGGGTAGCGCTGGCTCCTTTCCAATACCCAGAGTAGAGGCATCCTAAGGACAAGGCTGGACCGAGGGAGGGAGAAGGAAGGGGCTGCACAGCTTTGAACTGAGTTATTTGGGGCTGTAGAGAAACACGTTGGACAATATGATAAGTTAGAGCAGACCCTGGGTAATTTTCAGGAATGTCACTTTGGGAAAGAACTTAAGTGAACAGCAGTTCAAATGGAATAACTGTTACAACTATGGCACTTAAAAGATGAATAACAGAGAACAGCCCGTGTGGAAATGTGTGACGAGGTAGAAGTAATGTCGACGTAACAGGCAACTCCTTACCCCCAAATCTAAGACAGTTTCAGTCCAGATTTGGAGCTCAATATAGCAATGTGGGATGTCTCTAGTTAAAGAGGATTTTGTTATTAATTGTTAAATATAATTTAGGTGGGATTTTTTTTGTTTATGGTTCACTTAAACCATATTTTACTAGTCTCCTTAGTAACTAATGCTAGGCTATTCCTAATTTAACAAAATAGCTCCCATGCAGTGCTTTTCATCAGCTGAGTTCAAAGTGCTTTACAAAGGACATATCCTTAGCCCCATTTCATAGATGGGAAAACTGCAGCACACAGAGTAGAAATGACTTGCCCAAAGTCACCTAACAGGAAACCCACAGGTATTGAATACAACCCAGTTCTCCTGAATCTCAATTCAGTGCTTTTAGTGTTAAGAAGAAAACTAGAAAAAATATTCTAGTAATCTCCTCACAACACGAACCCAGAAACTTCATTATAGCACCAGACAACAGAATATTAAAAGTAATGGGAAGCCTCATATTGTAACAAAACAAATTCAATTAATCAAATTCGACATATAATTGCTACTAAGAAATCATATAGTACTCAGCATCTATGCTCAATGTTATAGATGTTAATGAGACAACCAGACTTGTCTTTGTTGCATTGATTCATAATCTGTTTTATACGGCACTTAAGAAAATTAAAATCAAATTCAATAATTATGCAGTTTAATTACTATTAAATAATAATAATTTGAATTTCAGGGTTTCAGAATTTGCATAATGCATGCATGCTTATCTGCAGGAATTGTTTTTGTGATGTGGACAGTTCAGTCTTTCTTCCCTTGAATTTGTGCAGTTGTTTTTAACATAGTGAAAAATATTTTCAAGTGCAGCAAGTTTCTGCTTGGCTTCAGTGCCAGCCAAAATTAATTTTGCCTGCTCCAATGTGAAAGCAATAAAAGTAGCTTCCAAAACTTGGAATTGTTTTTATAGTGAGAATGGTTGTAAATAATAGACAAGACCAAAAACTCTAATAAAGCAAATGGCATGTACACCACATGCTTGTATCTATTTACAGTTATTATTGTTGTTATACTTAATACTATTAATGGGATTACATATAGACATTCACGGAACTTACATTAACCCCACAAGCTTCAGGGGGTAGCCTCTGGTAGCACTTTATAGACTAACAAAACATGTAGATGGTACCATCATGATACCATCAACATGTTTTGTTAGTCTATAAAGTGCTACCAGATCATTTGTTGTATTAACCCCACAGTTAGTGATGACCCATGCCTGTTGACAGTGGGGAGGCAGAGTGAGGACACCTGGCCTCAGCAGTGCTACTGAGCATGCACAAGCAAAGTGACAAATCTGGTGAGGTATATGACTATGCAAGCCCCACCCTCACATCTTGCTTCTGCCCCCTGCTCTAGAAATGAAGATTTTGGGCAGGGGCTGGAACATCAATGGAGCATAACCTGCTAAGAATCAGACTGTGTTTGAAAGAGCACATCCAAGAGGCACTGAGGCCAATTACTACTCTATGACCACCTAGTCTTCCCTTAAAACTGATCCATAGGCTACAACTATTGAATAATGCTATTTCTCTCTTGCTCTGTTAGATAGGAGCAAAGGATATGAGTACAACTCATTCCATTTGTATTTATTTTATGATTTATGGGTGATTGAGCACTTTAGTCTTCTTGATGTTGAGGGTGCACCATCAGCCCTCTCCAATGAGGTACCATATGTCCCATCTATTATAATAAACGGAGAAGCACTGAAGAATATCAGTCATTTTCTCTGCTTTGGAAGTTTCAGAAGGGTAGCCATGGTAGTCTGTAATTAAAAAAATGAAGTTATCTTTCATTCAAGTTGTATATTGATGTTGAAATCCAACATTGTCTTAGCTGTGCCAGTAGAGCCTTTGCTCATTCACCACACAGAGGTTTTGAAGATCACAACATTCAAACAGACACCAAGCTTCTTGTCTATTAAGCCATCATTCTCCCAACACTGTTGTATGGGTCTGAAACCTGGACAACCTAAAGGTGTCACTTGAAAGCCCTTGACAGTTATCACCAACGCTGCCGCCAAGATTTTGAAGATCAAATATGAAGACTGGCACATGTTCTGGAAGAGGTAAAGACCACCAGTATCGAGGCAATCCATCAACAACGTCTCTGGATAGGTCACGTTTGCATGCCAGGCCATCACATGCAAGTGCAACATTGACACTGACACACAGGAAACACTCACCCAACATTGCTCAAAATGGAGAGAAGTCCTCCGAAATAGCCCCCTGCATTTTGAATTTGCCCACCGACAAGCTGGGGAGGAGAAGAGGTGCAGAAGGAACAGGAGACTGACTTCTGGTCATGGTCAACAGCCTCCTGCTGTACCTGGAAACATCTGTCTTCATTGTAATAGAACTTGCAGTTCAAGTATGAGCCTTACCAGCCTCTGAGGATCCACAACACCCATGATCATATTCAGCAACGAGTGATAACCCACCACCATCATCATTTCTGGCTGCTGAAATGCCCATACATGCTATTCAATGTTTTAGGGTAATATATGATGTCCTTAGGGCAGTAGTACTTGAGAACAATCAGGTCTTACATGTTTCCACTATCCAGTTACTGCCACCTGGGGAAGATCTGTTCCTAAATTCAATGTGCACGGGTCAGGTTGCAGCCTTGGACATTCTCAATAAAGGGTCACTGACATCATTTGTTGATTTCTTCATTTTGGGACTACTACTTTAATTCTAGTATGTACTATTCTTTTTCCTCCAGCTTTCATATGGCAATGGCACATTTTGCTGGTGAAGATATATGCGTAAAAGTTGGTGAGTACTTTCCTGTCATATGAACATAAGAACGGCTGTACTGGGTCAGACAAAAAGGTCCATCTAGCCCAGTATACTTTCTGCCGACAGTGGTCAATACCAGATGCCCCAGAGGGAGGGAACACAATATGTAATCGTCACATGATCCCTCTTTTATCATCCATTTCCAGACAAACAAGCTAGGGACACCTTTCCTACCTATTCTGGCTAATAGCCATTGATGGACCTAACCTCCATTAATCTATCTAGCTCTTTTTAAAACCCTGTTAAAATCCTAGTCTTCACAACATCCTCTGGCAAGGAGTTCTACAGGTTGACTTTGTGCTGTGTGAAGAAAAACTTCCTTTTGTTGTTTTAAACCTGCTCCCTATTAATTTCATTTAGTGACCCCTAGTTCTTATATTATGGGAGCAAGTAAATAATTTGTCGTTATTCCCTTTTTCCATTCCAGTCATGATTTTATAGACCTCTATCATATCCCCCCTTAGCCTCCTCTTTTCTAAGCTGAAAAGTCACAGTCTTTTTAATCTCTCTTCATATGGGACCTATTCCAAATCCCTAATCATTTTTGTTGCCCTTTTCTGAACCTTTCCAATGCCAATATACCTTTTTTTGAGATGATGCAACCACATCTGCATGCAGAATTCAAGATGTGAGTGTACCATGGTTTTAGATAGAGGCAATAAGATATCCTCTGTCTTAGGGGCTCATCTAGACTGCATTCCTCTTTTGAAAGAAGAATGTAAATGAAGGAGATGGAAAATTCAAATGAAGCGCGGATTTGCAAATCTTGCTCTTCATCATGTGAGAGCGCTTTTCCAAAAAAGGGTTTTTCGAAAAAAAAAAACCCACAGTCTAGACAGGGTTCTTTCGAGGAAAAAAAACCCTTTTTTCGAAAGAATCCACACTCCAATTATCAATCCATGAAAGGACATCCTTCTTATCCTATGACAACTTACTTTACTTAAGAGCCTTTGGTGAGGCTTTGTTGACTCCCTCAAAGGACTCTAGTAGATTAGGAAGGCACGATTTCCCTTTACAGAAACCGTGTTGACATTCCCCCCAACAAATTATGTTCATCTACGTCTCTGACAATTTTATTCTTTACAGTTTCAACTAATTTGCCCACTACTGACTGTCAGTGACTTTGGGTCTTTTGGATTGTTTTTAATTTTGGAATGGGGGGTATGGCACTTTCTGTGGCTCACTTATGACAGGTGACTTTTAAATATGTTTAATAAATAAGGTATCATATGCATAACTTTGGAAAATATCAGCAGTAAATGACGTATTTACCAGAAAATTTTGACAACTCTCTGTCAATCTATGCACATCATATGAAACCCAACAGGGCAGATTTCATTAGGGTATTTTCTTCTCTCACTGTAGGTGTTTGCCTGCCAGTAATTGTATGAGATGTATCATAGACTTAAAGTGTTTATAGCACTGAAGAGGATTGCTCTACAATGAAACCTATGCAAATTTTCTTGACACACTTACTTCCAGCAACTGTATGCCATGATGCCCCATTCACAGTCCCATCTTCCTTCTGGAAATCCTCTGTATGGCATACTCTCCTTCTGGCATCTGTCATTAGTCGATGAGTGGATGCATATGAATATGCCAACCACCGAAATACATGGTCATCAGGTGTAGGTGTGTGCTCCTGAGTCTTCCATGTAGATCGGACCATATCATATGGGTATGCAACAACCAGTTCTCCTCCTTGTAAATTGCCACCCAGTACAAATGGAATTTTTTCCATCCATGCTATCACTGCTCGAGTCTCAACTGCCACCTATATACAAAAGAAACATCAGCTGCATACAAAATTCAGTAGTCCCCACTTATTTGGGCAGTGACCAAAGAGATGGTGCTTGGTTATGCATGAGGTTTATCGTAAGGCCTGAAGTCAAATCAGAACTAGGTTTGGGTTCACATCTGAATTGAATAGATCTGAGTTGTATTCATACAATTTTGGAGCAAAACACGGACATTTTTACCATCTCAGGCCAGATACTTGGAAGAATCGTTTATTTTTCATGAAAAGTTGACTGCTTCTGCACCAGAATTTGGAAAATAGGGGCTTTTGGATGTGTAGAGGGTAGAATGAGGGCAGAGTTTTGAACATAAACTCTCAGAATTTCAAAGAAATTCAGAATCAAGGTTTTGATTTTTTTTCCCTTCTTTATTGTGCAATATTACAAATGAAACAATATAAGAGGATTTAGCTGCAAAGTTCCTATCGCTTAGAAACAATGGCCTGTTTTCAGCTGCACACAGATCACTTTATGCTAAAGCCGTCGGTGCAAAGTAATCTCTAAAGTCAGCATAGCTGCAATGGGGGGATCCTTTGAATACAAGGGGATACTCTGTTAGCACAGAGTCTTGCAATTCCTGTGTCACCCTCTTCACTGTAGTCAGCAGAAGAGGAATGAGAAAGAGAAAGGGGGATGTATTCAGGGCTTCCCTGCATCCTGGTAGCTATTGGCTGTGTATCTTGAGGTAACCAGCAACCAATATAAAATACAGCTTTCGGATTGATCTACCGTATGCTGGGGTGCTAAATAGGTAAACAGCTAGTCAAAGAGTGATGAGGGTGCATGTACTCTGTAGCA